CTTTCTTGCCAGCTTTGGTCACAGAGTTCTTTCTTGACTTGGACGCAGATGCCTTGCGAGACTTTGAGGCAGCATTCTTGCTAGACTTGGATGCAACTTTCTTGCCAGGAGACTTGCGAGATTTGGCGGTGGCCTTGCCAGCCTTGGAAGCGGCAGACTTGCGAGACTTTGATGCCTTCATCGAGCCCTTGGCTCTAGACCCCTTTCCAGCTTTGGAGGCTGCTTTCTTGCTAGATTTGGCGACTCCTTTGCGAGACTTGGACGCAGAGTTCTTGCCACCTTTAGCCTTGCGAGAGCTAGAGACGGCTTTCTTGCCAGACTTGGAAGCGTTGCCCTTCCGGGGCTTGGATGCAGAAGCTTTTCCAGCCTTGGACTTTGCCACCTTGTTCGACTTGGACTTTGAGGCGGTCTTCTTGCCAGCTTTGGAAGCAGACGCCTTGCGAGACTTTGACAAGTTGTTCTTTCCAGTCTTGGACTTGGATACAGCCTTCTTGTTCGTCGCCTTGCGAGCTTTGGACGCGTTATTCTTGCCGCTCTTGGAAGCAGACGCCTTGCGCGACTTGGATGCGACAGCCTTGCCCCCTTTGGATCCAGTGGATTTCCGAGACTTGGACGCGTTATTCTTGCCGGCCTTGGACTTGGACGCTGGCGCCTTGCGAGACTTTGACGCGTTACTCTTGCCAGCCTTGGACTTGGCCGCAATATTCTTGCCACCCTTAGAACCCGCTGCCTTCCTGAAGGCGGGTGCTTTGCGCGACTTGGCCGCATTGTTCTTGCCGGCCTTGGACGCAGGAGCCTTTCGCGCAACGCTCTTTCCCGACTTTGCCTTATTACTATTGGAAGCCTTGCGAGACTGCTGCGCAGGTTTTCTCGCTTTGGCAGGTGCCTTTGCTCCAGCCTTCTTATTGACGACAGCTTTTGCCTTTTTAGGCGTGGTCACCTTCCTCTGAGCTGGCTTGCGTACACTAGCCTGAGCCTTCTTCTGAGGGGCAGCTTTCTTCGCAGCCTGTCTCGGTGCCGCTTTTGCGGGGGTAGCCTTTCGAGCGGCTGCTTTCGGTGCCGCCTTTGCTGGAGCAGCAGGTGCCTTTTTGGGTACAGGTTTTGGCGGCGCCGCTTTGACTGCAGCTTTGACGGGCGCTCTTGCTCGTTTCTCCAAGTCTCTTGAGACGAGATCTTGCTCTTCTTCAGTCCTCGACACGAGCTCTGGGACATCTTCTGATCTTGACGCGAGGATTTGGCCTTGATCGACGCTTCGTTCTTCAAGGCTTTTTGACGTCTTTTGATCGAGTAAGTGACTAGAATAGATGTAATAGATGGAACCAAAAGTTTCTTACCATGACGGGATGCCCATTTGAGGCGAGTATGTAGGACGCCAAAAAGCATCCGAGAATGCGTAAATGCATTCCACGAAATGATAATACGTGAATAAGAAAAAAAAGGGTGGGAACAGGAAAAGAAAAGAGAAAAAAGGGAAGACCAGCTTCAAGCGAAAGAAAAAAGCGAGAATCTGAGGGAGGACCAAGCGGTAGCCTAAGGAAAT